GGAATTTCTCAGTTCTTGGCTCCCATCCTCTCCCCCTCCCCTCGCTCCTCCACTGTGTGGCGCCAACAAAGTCCTACACAATTATTATTTTCGGTACGTGAAACAGGTAACTGGTTGGTGATACCTCCCGGGTACCCCCTCCTGCTCAGCAGCACTTTTTAGGGGAGAAACTGGAAAATTTTGAAAGTATCTGACATGGGGGATGGAAGTTGTAGTGGCAGTGGTGGCACGCCTTTACACGACACCGGTTATTAGGGGGTCAGTATACCCCGATCGGCCTTTCCGCCCAGACCAACCAAGCCTATCCTCTGGGGTACCCGATTCGTCTGGAATGTTAGAAGCTTCCAGCTGTGCATCGGCTGGCTTCAAGTAACCACCGCGGTTCTGATCTGGATGTAGAATGCGTGCCGCATCCAAGAAAGGGTCTGATTGGGAGTCGTGTATATACTGTCCCTTATTTGAAAGTGGAATCCGGGGGAGTTTGTGAGTGGAGTCCGTAAATAGAGGCTTTCCGTATTTTACAAAACGCAAACCTTATTTTCGGTCTGACCTTGGTCTGGGTCACATGAAGATTTGGTGCTCGTTAGTCGTAACAGTGTGAGCCTGAGGAACTCGGATTGTGCGCTATAAGTGTAGCTGAAGGAATTCGCAGTACTTTTTGCTACCCAGCTGGTAGCGTGATGAGTGATCGACAATGCTGTAAAGGTACCAACGTGCTGGTCAACTTGACCACAGCTTTTCTGAACTGCGAATTTATCCCTTGCTCAGCTTGCCAAGTGAAACTTCGTTACAAGCTTAAATTACTTGTGCATGATAGTTGGATTACTTTGGTTATATTTTAAGTACATCTCACAAGAGTTAGTTGTTTGCAGTTAACTGGTTTCTCGGGAACACAGTACTCCCACGAATATACAGTAATCGATCCAGAAAGCAAAACTATGGCATTGACGACTCGAAATGTAAGCGAACTCCTTTTTAGGAATATTGCATGTGCTCAATATTTCCATTTCATAATCCAATTTTAGCTCAATGGCTCTCATTTTCTCCGAGTAGACGAAAAGCTCACCTATACGCCGCTGCCAGATGATCCGAAAAAGTACGATTTATGACGAACATTTCCGTTTTATTCCTCTCATCTAATATATTGCTTCTCTTTTTCTTCTTTTAGGACTATATTAAAGCAAGAAGCCATAGTGACAATTACCCTACCAGCATTTGCAGATTACTGTGAGAAAACGTTCATTGGTGTCTATTCATCGAACGCTGCAAAGGTGAGCTTGATACAGCTTCTATGATTTATGCGATTTGTCCTTTTGCTATGGAACGGGGGATTTGCGGTATTTGCGACATCCCTCCACTGCTGCTTCAAAGCCACACCTGCCTTCCTCCCTACTTCTTCAGTCTTCTATCTCCCTGCAGGTCAAATTCGATTCTCGACTGAGGATTCCGACCCTTGGCGTACTCTTGTAGAAATGCACATCATTGCGAAATTGGCTTATTCATACATGAATCGGCATTAACGTGCAGTCCATGTCTGAGAGCAGAAGGAGCGTTGTTATGAGCTGGGTCATGGCTGCGAGGGTTCAGACGCAAGAGAGAGAAAGATATGTATAAGTGAGACGGCGCGGAAAAAATACTGCCGGGACATCCCTTCTGCCCTCCAATATGGACTGTATTGAGCTGGAGCAGCCATATTTTGGACGGAATTTTTGAAAAGCGCTCATCTCATAAAGTAGATGAGTTGACCTCTTTTCGCCGAAAACACGGCGTTAATAAAAACTGTGATCAGTCTCTTGGAACACCTCCATCGGTAACGTTTGTTCCCTCCGGATGATGGGGCGTCGGGGAGGCGGGCGCTGCTCCAAACCCAGCCTCCCGTAAACGCCATAGCATCCGCAGCATCCAGTCTGTCCATGTGGCTTCAGGACCCGAAGAAACGGCGTGAAGGTGATCCTGGAGCGTTTAGCAATGACCTCCACTTATAGTGTCGAATGATGAAAGAATCATGATTCATAGTCCAGTGCGCAGGATGGCCCGCAGAAGGTGTCTACGAGTGACACAATCATCGAAATTACGAAGCCCTTCAGTCTGACGCAAATACTGAGTCATGCGTGGGCAGATATTGTAGGCATTATTGAGCTCGTTAGCGATGATGGATGGAATCTTTTGATTGCAGTGGTAGAGGCAGTTCTGAAAAACCTACTTCTGCTTCTAGACGGACATCTTACTAGGGAAGGTCGTCAGGTCGAAGTGGCCATTTGTAATGAGATGTAGCTCACTAGACGTGGTTTTGGACGCTGATCTCGAATCTGCCTTCGAAATTTGCAGAACGATTCTTTGAAAGGAATTATGAAGGTTTGTTAGAATTAAAATTAAGGAAAACGGAGTCAAGCGCGGTTGCCAGCCAACACGTTAAATAGACGGGAAGCACCCTAAGGTCAACGGCAGCATGGTGTAGTGGTAGTGGTCTTGCTTCGCAGGCGTGCCTTGAAGGGTTCGAATTTCCGGAGAGGGATGCTTTTGCATTTTGTGCGGAATGTCTCTTTTGAGTCTAGAAAACACTCAAACGCCAAATGGGTGCCATATTCGTGTTCAGGGAGCAAAACTACCCCTGGGGCAGGTTTCTAGCCAGATGTGAGGTTTTGACCTAACTTTGAAAAGTGCGGTAGCAGCTGATCGAATGATGGTCACTAATAGTTCCAGGGCCAATCTCTTGTTGATTGCTTGTCTTTTGGACGGAATTTGCTTTCAGATATTAGGAAAACTGAAGCAGTAACAAAATGAATGCGTAAGAAGTGGCAAGACGAGGGTTTGTGCAGGAGAATGTATCTGCATCTGAATAGGTGTGTACATCAACTGAACTAACCCATGGATGGTCCATTTATGGAAGTCAGGTCAAAATGCCAGATTTGGCTAGAAACCTCTACATAGGCGTAGTTCGCCCCGATAAACACGAATATGGCACTCGCTCAGCGCGAAAACGCCTGCACTCCGCGCCAAGGGCACCTGTACATCCATTCTCCTAGATCATAAGGCACTAAGCGCGCCAGTAAGCGAACGCAAACTGTTTTTCAGGCAAGTCAAGGAGAGCGCTAATGTAGTAGTGACGCCACAACCACTTTTTGCCACGTTTGCGCAAGAAGCAAAAAAGTTAAGCTCAGCAGGGATCCGATCCCACGACCTGTTGCGTGGTAAACGCGTGGAAAAAGCTCCATAACTCCGTTCAGAGAATCGTTCTGCAAATTTCGAAGGCAGATTCGAGATCAGCGTCCAAAACCACGTCTAGTGAGCTACATCTCATTACAAATGGCCACTTCGACCTGACGACCTTCCCTAGTTAGAAGTCTCCTCTCAAGGTCATCCCATTTCAAAGTGGCCGATGGTTTTTTTTGAATAAACAAAGAGGAGAATAGATAGAAAAGTGATATTTTAGCTTTAGGATGAGTAAATCCCTCCTTCACCAATGACCCGCTCCCAGTGCCCCGAGGGCCTTTGGACCTCTGGTACCTTCGATTTTTCAACAAGTGTGAGTAAATTGCTGTTGTTGCCAATTTCGGCAAATGACAAAACATTGTAGCGTCTGCCGTCGAAGAGTACTCTCTACTGAATAGAACAGTTGTAATCGCATGGCTTTATGACGGGCGAATGGGACGATTGAACTCAGGTCTCAGTATTGTTTGTGTCCCAGCACTGATCTACAATACAGTTACTCGGGGTCTGGCACTATGACGAGCAACGGTGGCCTTCTTGTAGTTGTGTGGTACCATCCATTTGTCGATCTGAATGCCGAGGAACAGGCAATATGCACCGACAGTGACGGATTTGTTCTCTGTATAGAGCCGCTTGAAGCCACAGTGTGGGAATCCTTTGCTATGATGATCATCCACTTGCGCCCACGTAACTTTTCATGGTGGTAACTCGGGCGGCTTCTCATCTGCATTCATACAAAATTGACGATTGTGAGTTTCGGCTCGAGGTCCGAGACCACCCATATTTCATCTAGGGCCGGGGTGCGTTTTCACAGTTGTGAGTGACATCTCATGCTGAGAACATTACTGCTGGAGGTATAGAATCGGTACTGCGTTCATGCTTCTATAAGAAAATTGGGTACCCATGCCTCACCCTCTTGACCATCCTCCGTTTATCGGACATAACTCGGGCAGCAGTTGCAGCTGGGATGTCAGACTCGCGGGGAAGCTCGACAAGGGTCCAGGCTCTGTGATCAGATATTCAGTGCCTGACTTCATCCACCCGTTTTTCTTGTGCAGGATGAATATTATGGGACCACCCACGACAACAAATTTTTTCCTTTCTTCCTTGTACGGGCTCCTGAACCAGATCTTCCACCGTGTATTTCGAGAACACCCTTACACACAACTATGGTCCGGCGCAGGTCAAATTTGAGCAGCGCACTTTCCTTTTATGACGTCTGATTTGAAAAACCGGCGCCGATTTTCACCACTCGGGCTTCTCTTCAATTTCTCGAGAACTTCTTCAGAGGCTAGGTTCGCCAAATTTCACAGATACACAGCTTAAGGTACTAGCTTCCAAATGGTATAGTAGCCCGCTGCTCTATCCCCTTTGCTTTTCTGCCATTCCTCTATACTGTGGTCGGCATTTTAATGGGATGACCTCAATATGTACCTTAACCCTGTGGGGTTGACGTTAGACGCGGAAGGTGTCGCTATAAATCTCCTTCTCATTCTGAGATGCATCTGTTCGTTCTGCAAGACTGGAGAGGCCTTCAGAGAGCTGGTTCAGAATAGAAAAGGTGGTCTAGACTTGCTGATGCGCGCCATGGAACTTCTCTTTGTCTCCCTGTGCGCCCGTTCGATATCTATTGGTATGGTACCCCGTCATCCCTAACTAGACCTCTGGCTGCCAGAATAGACGAAACGTTTTCTACTGCTTCCGTTTATGCCCAGAGGTTGACTTCCCCTATTAAATTGCAGCAGCTAGCCATCGAGGCACCTTCTTTGAACCCTATTTCCTTCCCAAGGTGAAAATGTTATTTCTGAGGCTGCTTAATACTTTTCGTCGGGGTTTCAAGGAAGGAAGAAAATAGGTATCGATCTAAGGTTTTGGAAGAACGCCAGCATTTTAGCGTACTGAGGAAAAGGAAAGTATAAGCATCGATTTACCGAGCATTTGGGAAGCGTTCAGAACGCTAGACCAAGACTACCATGTCCTTACCTACATGGAATCCAACGCCCGTTGCCGCGCGCGCCAAAGCGGCCATTCGATCTCCCCTCCGCCGCCCAGAAACGCTCACTTATTAAAGAATTAAATTCTTTAATTAATTTTTCTTGTTCCTTTTCAGGGAAGGAAAGGTGTCGAATGGGTGATAGATCAATTGAAGAAGGAGTACACGGATATTTCATCGAAAATCTCTGCTGAAGTTCATGAGATGCAAGAGAAAGTAATGAATGCTTTCAAAAGTGCAGATAGTTCGACGACTCCGATACGCCTTTTGATGTTTTCGAAGAAGGAACATAAGATGATGATGCATTCTATGCGCTCATGCGCTTAGGTTGAGTAGGATTGCGCCACTTAATCTAATTGATCATGTGATCTAGCTGTTCCTAGTTTGTTCCGTTGTTTAGAAATGTGTTATCACTTGAACTTATCGCAGTTGTCTGCCTTTTCCTACTCGTGAGCACATATAGATAGTATTTAAGATTTACGTTTTTCACGGGTTGTGAATAGTTGTTAAAGAACTGCACTTTTCTCGTTTTGCAGATATAGTCATTGTTGCCTCGTTTCAATTCTCGATGGCCGTATAGTTTAGAGCAGACTAGGTGTTTTTGGACGAATTGTTCCACAAAGAATGCAGTCGGTTCCCGGTCTCCCTATCTACCTGCTGCAATAAACCTCAACAGCTGAACTCTCATCGTTGTCGAATTAATACCTATGTCGTTTTATGTTCAATTAGTTAATAAGATCTATAGGAGAGTGTCTGGAGGTGTAATGTCCGGGAGAGGGGCAAGAGAATCGTAAATGGCCGCTTGCGCGCGCGCGGAACGGGCGCGACGTCTCCTTAATTTGCGTTACTCTCTTTCGACTGGAGCATTGGATTCCATGTAGACATGGACATGGTAGACGCTGTGCTGTGCTTGTATTTCTAGTCATACACAGTCTATTTTCAACCGGTACCACCTGAAATCGTCGTCATCGGTGGACGCGGCGTCGCACGCGACGCAAACTGGCGCGGCGAGTTACGGTTCTTTTGCCACATACCCGTAATGTCCATGTTAACAAAACCTTATAGAAATTTATTATAAATGAATCTAATTCGACATATTTTCTTAGGATCAATATGATCGCATAAATCAAACATATTCTGTGTAGATACGGTTTTCATCTGGAGCGGAAACAGTTCACCATCACGTCGAGTTCGAGCTCGTTGGTAGAGGATACCGGTTCTGCGAGAGACCGCGATTCTTTGGATTCCTTTGAATGCAGTACACAAGTCACAGGTCACATGCCCATGGCTATGTCGTATCTGAAAAGAGGGCAATTTGTACAGAAAGAATTCTGCTGATGATAGTAGTGCAGCAGCCAATTATGGGTTGTGAATATTCACAAGCGAGAAAATTAGAAATAATTAGAAATAAATAAAAATGATTGCTTGATCGCTCACGAAACAGCGCCATGGCAATGAGAAAAGTTGGTCCTTCAGCTTTGACTGCATCCTTTACCTTTCCTCATCGACGACCCCTATCCCCTCATGCCAGAAGTTGATCTTTACCTTAACTTCAACTAAAATTTTACAAATCATTTCTCTCAAAATTCTCACGCAACACATCACTGCTAAGAACATGTTTTGAGGAGTCTCGCTCCATTAGGGAGAGAGGACGAACAGAGACGACGGTAATGCGATATTTTCCTAGCAAAAATAATCCGGACCCGACATTCTAGCTTACGCCATATTTACATGTCATTTCTAAGAAATCTACCTTGTTGAGTATCGCTGGTAATGAGTGTCAAGTGAGGAGGTATCGAACGCACTCTTTTTCCAGAATGACATAAGAAAACTTCCCCGTCTGAGTGCCTGATTCCTCGTAACGTGAACGCTTGCCATCTGCTCGAATGACTCGCCATCGAATGGGGAAGGTACACGGGCTACTGAAACGACGACATATTATTCAGCACCTGGAATGCTGAGGAAAAATGCGCTACGTACTTTTGGATTTCAGCTTTTGGGACATCCGCAGGATCATGTGCGACCGGGCGGACTATAAACGGGTAGCAGCGTGAGGAAGCGCTGTGGCGCAATTCAGCGTCAGAGAACATCCAATGTCTTTTTCAACTGAAGCAGTGCCAGCACTCCATGCATAAGTGTGGGTTGGTTTTCTCTCACAAAATTAGACTCACCATATCGCGAATGATAGTAAAGCGCTCCAAATCGCTGGCATGTCTGTCACGAAGAACATGTTTTATTTCATCAGTCATCAAGTTGTGCTTCTGAAAGTGGACAAGGGCAGTCATAAACTTTATCCTTTCTCATTAGTGATGGAAAAGTTGATGTTTTCAACAGATCGCTGTCTTCAGTGGCCTCAGACGACGCCAAGCAAATGGATTTACCAACCTCGCCAGAGACAAGGGATCCCATCCCGGAAGATTCGAAGTTCACATTTTTAAAATCTACTCGATCCAAGCGGGGGCCCCCACACCATTCGGCTATTTTGGAACACTTCCAAACAAAGGAATAATAGATAGGTTCTAGCAATGAGAGTAACTTTATTCGCCAACTGCCACCACTGTCATGTCCTCACTCAATATACTGGACGTCAGAGGGAAAAGCAGGACCAGAGGCGACGCCGACGCGAGGAAAGGATGCCAAACTTCTTTGTCATCAGGGACCCGGAGCGTGTTCGTCACAATCGTCCAATTTCGTTCCGGAGACATGCTGATGTGGCAGGACCCAGTACGTCAAGGAGACGTTATTCGCCGACTGGGAACCGCAGGTCACGTTCGAGGGGCCGTTCCGAACGTCATGGATCAGGAAGCACATCGTTCGTCACACCGAGGGGAACGCCGTCACGAGTCACGCCACGCTGGACCGCGAAGAAAATAAGAGTCGGGACGACTCTTCGCCCGCGAGGGGCATGTAGATACAATGCATATATTTTTGTTATTGTTACATTTAATCACAATTACATTTAATCACAATGTTCACTTACTCTTCTGACTTACTGTTGTTATTCCTTCTCGTTGTTGCCTTAGCTCGTATTTCGAAATACTCTGATCCTCACTTGGTACTGTATCTCTCCACCCGACCTCATGGTACTCACGTGCTCACCAGTATATAAGGCGGCTTCAGCTGCCAGGTCTCAGTCTATTCTACTCGATCTGTCCTATACTCTTGCCGAATAAAGCTTCCACTGGACTGTGTTCGACTACGCATCCCCCCTAGACACGAAGACGCCAGGCCGGACATAGGGAGCCGAACCGAAGGAAGCTCGACAGTTGGACAGCCGCCAAAAGCCGGAATACCGGAAGGCGAGTACCTGCCACCTATAGAAGGCAGAGAACCACACTTTTCGAGTGTGAGAGGCTACCTCGAGGGCAACCTCGACGTAATCGATCGAAGCCATATCGATTGACTATAGCCAGCCTCGTACAGGGTGCCAATAGGATTTCGCAACACTCGTCTGTACAGTTGTCAATACAGACTCGTACCTTCGATCCTATTGATTTCTTGCTATAGTCTTCAACATCCTGTTGTGGTTCATTTCGCAATATTCGTCTGCGCCGTAAAAAAAAGCAGATCTGATCTTAGCGATACAGTAATCACAACTATTTCAGAACAGATATGAGCGACGACGACATCCCTATGGACGCAGATATTGAGCGTCTATTGCTAGAGGAATTTGCGCCGTCCGATCAGATTGCTTCAATGAAAGCATCCATAGATACACTAGTTGGAACGGTGAAAGATCTAGCATGCAAGAATGCTCTTCAGGTGAGGGTGTCTCGTGATATAATGTCAGACAAAATTCAAATTCTCCGAGACATGCCCAAAACCATACTAAGCTGCTTCAACGATTACTTCCCGCTGGAAAAAACGCAGGAAGTCGAACAAACCTTAAGTACTCTTTTCGAGCCAAACCTGAAGACTCTGCAAGGAGAACTTCGAAAATTAGATTTTGTCCGCGAGCGATTACACTCACTAGGCTCGCTGATAGACAAGTTGATACCGGTGTCACTAACGGAAATACTGGCACAGGCAGAACATGACGACAGCTGCATGCGCGAATTAGCACATCTGCTGGATGTGGACACAATGCAAGTGGTAGATAAAGTATCAGAGCTTGTAAAAACAGTCTCGAGAAAAAATATGACAGAAAATGCAGTAACACCACTTGTTTTAGACAGTTCAGTTCAGGTTCCACAGCAGAGCGCGGTGTCGTCAAGCGCGGTTCCGAACCCCGCGGCAATCGAACAACTGAACCGGTTCGAGTTCGAACCCGTGGACTATCACGCTACCTTTGATCCAATCGCAGCCGCGCAAGGTAAGCAGTGTGTTCCACGTAGTTCGTCTCGAGGCAGTGGCAGAGAGCCGCCCACCGGTCTAAATGATGTTTTTCAGCTCGAAAAGACGAACAAGCAGCAGCAGAAGCAGAAGGAATCCCCTTGGACAATCCCGACACCAGGGCACCAAGGTGAGTATACTGAGTTTCCGTTGGGTTCTTGCAAAAGGGGTTGAAATGGCTCGCATGTTCGCTGCGCTGACCCTGCCCGACGTGAGTGTGTATGATGACCCGAACGGGAAAGATTTCGGGGACTTTCTTGCCCAATTTAAGTTAAAGTATCAAGGGCTTGCACTCGATAATGACATGCTTGTGCATTTGCTATTTTCAAAATTGGATGGTTTTCCTCGGTCCGTGGCAGATGCTTTGCCCAGATCTGTAAAACAAGCAGGATTTAAAGCTATAGTCGAGGCTTTGTGCGATAAATTCAAGGAAAACGAATCTTCCGCACAGTTAAATGCCTACATGAAGCTGAAGACGCTGCGCAAAGAAGGTGACGTGACAAGCTATTGCGTTGAATTAGAGAAGATCACGCAAAGAGCTTATCCTGGAGCCTCTGAAGAGGAGCTGTCGCGTACAAGAGCATCAGAACTGGTTGCGCAGCTATCCGATTGGCCAGAATACCTTCAGCTGTACACGGCAATGGAAGTAGCACCAAAAGAATCTGCATACGAAATGGTCAAAAGCATGGCGCAAAGATGCGAACGCAGCAGAGCACTCGCGACAGCTACTAAGAGGACCCTAGATGCCTCAAAGCTGCAACGTTCTCTTCCAGAGGAACGCAGACCTGCAGAAAAGAACCGTCCACAGGCCCAGACAAAAACAGAATGCTGCACCGGCGCCGTTGGCAGTCCAAATCAAGGACAACCAAGCGCCCGCATCTCATAAAAAGCTACCGAAATGTTACAAATGCAACGAGTATGGACATTTTTCGAGGGACTGCAAGAAAACTGTAGCTGCTAAAGCCGCAGCGAGCACAGAGAAAACTGGCGGAACCCTCCCAAACGCGCCAAGTGTTTTCACCGCATCCGCGCACAAACGGCTAAGTATAATGGAAGAAACGTCATCGACATGCAAAGGTCTAGTAGGAGAGCGAATGACCAAAACAGTGAAGCTTCTTGGGCTGTCACGAAAAGCGCTCTTAGATACTGGATCCCAGATAAGCATAATACCGCTCGAAGTGCTACGAGCAGGTCGCACGTCTGGTTTCAACTTCGATGAGGACGTTGAAGAGTTTCCATTACCGAGCCAAGCGCCAATCTACGATGCCTCAGGCAACAAAATGCAGTTCGAGGGAGCAGTAAGGTTGACAATAGAACTTGAGAGAGGCGAGAAACGCCGTGTTGCATTATTCGTAAAGGCTGGAGGAGACAATACGTTAGTTTTGGGAACCAACGCTTTGCAAACCCTCGGAGTCAGCCTTCTTACGGACAATGCTAATCATAACCAAGGGCAACACCTCGAGGACACGCGACCCACTGTCACTGCAGATGAGGCGAAAGGCAAAACACGGGTGAAAGAGAGAAGGTCACCGACTACTAGTCAAGCGGTGGTGGCCAAACGAACATACCTTCGACCAGGTGAAACAAAACTGCTTCCCTACGATGTTCCAACGAACAAAGGAAGGTATACTGTGGTCGAAAAGCAGTCTAGTACCGGATGTCGTTCTTCAGAAGGCTGACCACTCCGTAACGGTCCCCGTAACTAACGATTTTGCAGGAGCAAAACTTTTTCGAAAAGGGGAGGAGGTGGGCATATACGAGCCGACGAAGATAGTCGACGCAGAGCCTGTGAAGTGTCACGGTGATATGCTCGAACGCACGGTTAACGCGACTGAAGACCGGGAAGACAAACTGCTGCGACTGCTGAACTTGAGTAAAAGTGGGAAGCAAGAAGAAGTTATGGTCAATCTTGTGAGGAGATACAGCGATGTGTTCGCGGTCACTGAACAGGAATTGAGCCAAACAACTCTGGTTGAACACTCAATGAAACTGGTGATGCAAAACCGATTAAGCAAAAGGCACGCCCGATACCGCTAGGAACGAGGGTGGAACTGCGGCAAATACTCAAAGACCTGCAACAAAGGAAGGTGATTGAACCAAGCAGCTCGAGTTGGGCATCACCTATTGTTCTGGTCCAAAAGAAAGACGGTACCTTAAGGCTATGTGTCGACTACCGGAAGGTGAACCAGGTAACGAAGACTGACAGTTACCCGCTCCCGACGATGGATTCCATCTTGCAGAGTTTGAAAGGTAAAAGATGTTTCTCTACCCTGGATCTGTCATCTGGGTATTGGCAGATAAGCCTTTCGCAAGATGCCAAGGAGAAGTCCGCGTTCACCACAACGGAAGGATTGTACCAAGTTTCGAGTGTTGCCATTCGGATTAACATCATCACCAGCAGTGTTCCAACGTCTCATGCACATAGTACTCGGTCCATTACTTGGCGATGAGGTGTTCTGTTATTTGGACGACATAATGGTAGCAACAGATTCGGTCGAACGACACCTGAAGGTAATGGAAGAAGTGTTCTCAGCTCTAAGAGGAGCAGGACTAAGATTGAACCCGAGGAAGTGTATGCTGATCAAGGATAGAGTGGAATTTTCTCGGACATGTAATCGACGGCGAAGGACTGCATATGGATCCGGCAAAAGTAGAAGCCATTAATCGGTACCCACTTCCACGGACACGTGCAGATCTCCGCTCATTCCTCGGCATGTGCTCATATTATCGCAAGTTTGTGCTAGGTTTCTCGAAAGTCGCAGCACCGTTGCATGAAATGACGTCTGAAAAGAAACCATTTGGCTGGACACCTGCTGCAAAGGAGGCTTTCAAAAACCTAAAGAGGATCATTACGGAAGCCCCAGTACTCGCGCAACCGGATATTGAAGCAGCTAGAAGTGGGACGAAACCGTTCAAGATCCATACAGATGCTAGCACAGAAGGCCTAGGAGCAGTGCTGAGTCAGGAAGGTGAAGATGGGTTCTTGCACCCCATATTTTTCGCGTCGAAAGGTTTGTCCAAAAGCGAAAAGAACTACCATGTTACTGATTTGGAGGCTCTTGCGGTAGTATTTGCGCTGAGAAAGTTCCACATGTTCGTTTATGGCCTCCATACCGAAGTTTTCACAGACCATCAAGCGCTGACTGCCTTATTCAAGAGGAGCAATGTGTCAGCCAGAATTCTTCGGCTCTTCGGACAACGACAATCGAGGAGGTGGTCCGCATCGCATCGCAGAAAAGTATTCGATGAAGCGCATGCTGGCCTATTAGCTGGGCATTTTGGCCCCAGGAAGCTAATACGGCAACTGTCCAAACGATTGTTCTGGGAATCGCTGAGTCGAGACGTGGCAAAATGGGCTGAAGAATGCCGTGAATGCTTATGCCACAACACACGCCTGATGCAGAACTTACGTGGCTCGAAATAGTAGGAATTGATGTCCTCGAAATGGGACTCACCTCCAGTGGCAACCGATACATACTAACTGTAGTGGACCATTTCTCTAAATATGGTGGAGCATATGCGATACCCAACAAAGCAGCAGAAACCGTTGCAAGGGTATTCTTCGAGAAATGGATCGCAGAAGGCTGCCGACAGCCAAAGCAGCTACTCTCAGACCAAGGGGGCGAATTCGACAACAAGCTGATAAGTGAACTGAAAAAGATTCTGGGAATAGAACATGTGTTCACCAAAGGGTACAACCCCGAGAAAATGGGATAACGGAGAGGTTCAACCAGACTATCGTCAAAATGTTGCGGAAAAAGGTGCAAGTCCCCAGCGAATGGGATAAAATCTTGCCATACTGCGTTTTCGCGTACAACACCACGGTGCATGAGTCCACAGGAGAATCACCATTCTTTCTGCTGCATGGTTTCGATGCGTATGTGCCATGGGACTCAGTTCCGGATACCACTATAAGCAAATACATGGTGGACTTGGACAGCTATGTTCAAGAACTAGCCGTGGGAACCCAGCTAGCACGAAAGTACGCAGTCGAAATGAACGACAAAATGCGCCACAGAATGAAAGTGTACTATGACCGAGAGAAGAAAGTGCGCGAAACACCGCTCAAAAGTTGGCGATCGAGTGTACCTGAAAATTCCCAGCGAGAGACAGTCACAAAACCCCAAGTTGACGAATCCTTGGGAGGGTCCATATAGAGTCCTAAGCGTGAGCGAAAATAGCGCCCTGATAACCCTAATAGGTCAGAACAAAGAGCCGGTGAGAGTGCCCTTTGATATGTTAAGAAAACTCCCGGCCGCCGTTTCTAATGACCCCATCAAAACGCAGAAGAGCCGGGGAAAAAGGGGCAGACCACGTAAAAGAAACTCACCAAGTAGTTTTAAGATATCATGTAATTTGATTTATGTTTCCAGGACTCTGCTTGGCGTCGACAACGTGCTGAACCTGCGATACAGATGCAACTGTGGACTGTTCGGACAAATGGCCCATGTAGCTCTACCAGGCCTAACACACCCGATGGCCAGGTCCAAGAAAGTGCTGGACATGTTTCAACTTGCTAACGTGGCATCAATCGCAGAACAGGCGTGCTGGGGCGACGAGAGGAAGGAGGAAGAGCTCAGGAAAAAGAGCTCCTGCTACATCACCCCGTATGGATTGGCGCTTGCCATAGATGCCCATCGCCGACGTTGCATAACATATGCGGATGCCGTGGAAAGCGCCAGAGGGCTGAAGTTTGACCACCCTGCAGTGTTCTCCTGGCCAGTGCCATACGATCTTGGAGCACATCTAACGACTGCCATTGCTCTCCAAGGCAAGCTACGGGTACCTGGTGCACAAGTGGATAGAGAGCCGGAGATCTTCATCGCATTGCCGCCTGCCTTCGCTCGTGTCAACTCTGATGTGGATTATGGGCGCAACGTGACGCCGTACGTGTACGCCGATTGGAATGGATTAGCAGAGAAGCTTGTGACGATGCCGATCGTAACCTCCCTGATCGTTGTGTGGCCCGATACTACGCCGGAAAGTCGGGAGATGCGCCAAGTGCTGATCGCATTGGAACGCCACTTGCAGCCTGGAGGCTCGCTTGCATTCTTTCCGAGCCCATACGAGGATGACAATAATACGGAATGGATGCATATGGGACGGGTCTGCGCTGAATACGTCCGCTACATGACGGACCCGCAGCGTTCCTTTGAAGCTATCGTGCGGGATCACTACAGTGACGTCTTGGAAGGAGCGCCGTTCACCCACCCTGCCGCATGCTTGGGTACGCACCCGCGCCGCGGTAGGTCACAGTTCGGTGGCTACCAGATCAGGCTTTTCTTGGATAAGTTGCGAGTCACCATCAACGACTTGGTAAAGATGGACGAATTCGAAATGGCCTCTGAGGAACTCAGGGAACGACGTCAGAGGGAGAAGCAGGACCAGAGGCGACGCCGACGCGAGGAAAGGATGCCAAACTTCTTTGTCATCAGGGACCCGGAGCGTGTTCGTCACAATCGTCCAATTTCGTTCCGAAGACATGCTGATGTGGCAGGACCCAGTACGTCAAGGAGACGTTATTCGCCGACTGGGAACCGCAGGTCACGTTCGAAGGGCCGTTCCGAACGTCATGGATCAGAAGCACATCGTTCGTCACACCGAGGGGAACATCGTCACGAGTCACGCCACACTGGACCGCGAAGAAAGTAAGAGTCGGGACGACTCTTCGCCCGCGAGGGGCATGTAGATACAATGCATATATTTTTGTTATCTTTACATTTAATCACAATTACATTTAATCACAGTGTTCACTTACTCTTCTGACTTACTGTTGTTATTCCTTCTCGTTGTTGCCTTAGCTCGTATTTCGAAATACTCTGATCCTCACTTGGTACTGTATCTCTCCACCCGACCTCATGGTACTCACGTGCTCACCAGTATATAAGGCGGCTTCAGCTGCCAGGTCTCAGTCTACTCTACTCGATCTGTCCTATACTCTTGCCGAATAAAGCTTCCACTGGACTGTGTTCGACTACGCATCCCCCTAGACACGAAGACGCCAGGCCGGAACAGTC